AGCCGGGCCCTGTCGTGCCCGACACGGCCTGTGGCACCGAGGAGGGGAAACAGGCGCGGGAGCAGAGCCCCCAAGGAGACGGGACATTTAGAGGGATGTCGGGAAAATCCCAACAGAGTAATCGACGGTCCGGAGCAATCCCTGGCTCTCCGCTCAGGATGAGTCTGAAGGGGGCTCAGGCTGTACCACAGTGGCCTATGAAGGAGCTCTCGTGTTCCCTGGTCACACTTATCTGCCAGGCTAGATGGACCCGGCCAGTCCCCCCTTCCCAGCTAGGCCTCTGGGGTTCCAGCTCCATTCCCTAACCACTAGGCTCTGTGGTCCCAAGCGCTGGGATCTAACCACTGTAATTACTGCCCCCGCCGAATCGCTCAAGTCCTTTTGAAGAGAAAATAAGTTACATGGGGTTAAAAATAACCAACTCTCCCCCCCCAGATAGCGGGGGGGGGCTGTAATTTGCACAGTATCTGACTAAGGGCTGGGGAGCTTCCTGCAGATAAGCGACAAGCCTTACTAGGCAGCGGATAATTATCTCCAATTCAGCTCTGCAAAGCGCTCACGCGGTGCGGGAGGAGGTCCGGACGGCACGGAGCTTGTGCTGTCTCGTTCGGGGCGCGGGCGGGGGGTGGGAGCGCTCTGGCAGGGGGTGTCATTGACGAGATGGGGCAGAGCCAGACTGCCAGGGCCAGGCTGACGCTGAATCCAGTGTGAGTTTACAGCAGATGAACGATTCATTCGCCGCCCGGGGGGATGGGCCTGTTCTGGAGCCCCCTTCACCCAGGGGTGCAGCAGGTTAGCCGCAGGTTAGCCCAGGGGGTGAAGGGAAATCAGAGCAGGGGAGCCTGCCTGTGCAGTGAGCACAAGTCGGTTTTGCTGAGAAGCCCGGGAGCAGGGGAGGGAGCCAGGCTTCCGGCTGGGGCCCTGAGTCGTGGATTCAGTTTGAAGGGCACAAGTCAGGATACTGGGGAGGATTCTGGGCCCCGTTTACATCAGTGGGACAGGGCTTCCCCCGGCGGCGAACCTTTGCCCGGCTGCGATTGGCTGTAAGAATCGGAACCTCATGCTCCCCCCGCGAAGTGGGGCTCAGAAGTGACCGAAGGGCATGGGGCTGGCATATGGATCCTGGACGGGCAGGGCCCCCAGCACCCCCAGCACCTCTATTTCCTGCACCTGTGCCTGCTGCCCCCACAGCTCCCATTTGGCTGGGACCAGGTGCAGTGCAGCGGGACAGAGTGCACCCCGCCTGGGAGAGCCCCAGCCCCAAACTCCCCCTACCCCTTCCACTCCCCTCAACACACCGCCTGCCTCCTGTCCTAACTCCTGCCATCTGCCATGCCCCTATCCGCCTGCCCTGAGCCCCCCGCGCCCCCAAACTCCAGCCCAAAGCCTTGCATGTCCCCAT